CCTAGCGGGGCTTTAATTATTATTTGCTGATGTTTAATTTTACTCTTTACTCTTAGATTTTAATGGATTATTGAATATTGCTTAATTTGATATGTTGTTTATTTCAAAATTATTGTGACTTTCTATATTGGGTCAGATTGCAACTAATAATATTTGATATTTTATTATGTTTTTATATTTGTTGGAAGCAACCTAGAGTGGCTGGGGCAGCCCAGCCAGATGGGTGGGGTTTGAATAATAATAATAATAATAATAATAATAATTCAGCAACATCTGCAGGACCAAAGATTTCCTACACCTGCACCAGAGCCAGGGTTGTCATTCTCACTGCTAATGTAGGAGTGAGAAGCTTTGACCTGCTGTTCCAGATGCAGCAGCCACTAGTGACCAATACTGGGAGGAGATTGCTGTGGCTGAAGGAAATGGAATTAGTGCTGGCACATGGATCTCCAAACTGAAGTTCCTCTTGTGTTCTACCTCAACCAGATATATAAAAAGGCAACTTGGCAGAGGGAGCAGGGAAGAGATGGCTAAAATAAATTGACATATAGTCAGCAATAAACTGGATCACCTTTTCTGCCTCTGTAAGGTAGGGAATGAGGAGGGTGTTTTAGCTAATTTGCCTGCACTGGGGCAATACATTCAAAAGAGAGCAGATGTACCTTAAAAACACTATACAGTTCTTCTCTCAAATCAAAATTCTCTCATGGCTGCACTTTTAAGCAAGCCAAAGTGTAATCTGAGTTCATTTTGTTTCCTGATGCTACTAATGCTTCTGAAGTCAAGGCTCTCAACTTTATATTTCACACACATTCCCTCTGGTCCACCCCACATTATGAAAATAATTAGATAAAAGCTTCAGTTCTCGATAAAATCCACCTAACCAACTCCAGCTCCTCCATTACTAAACTGAGCTGCAAGCTACATCCTGCCTACATCCTGATTAATCCATTTAATCACAACCTTTATTACAGAAGAACAAAGATGAACAAGTAAAGATTTCCTAGTTTCAGGATGCCCGAGAGATATATTTCAATACCAGTTAGAAATGTCAATCAACCCACAGTTAACAGGCATGGCAGATGGTGCACTGTGCAAACAAAGACATTTAAAAGTTGTATTGACCTATGAAATGTCATATTAACATTATAGTATGCATGTATCCATCTTGCATAGAAATTTACATGATTGAAGATTGGTGATTGCTTTTTTACCGTATTAAGAAAATGTATATTAGGAGATCCAGATGATTTAGACATTACAGCAGAGAAGCAATTGTTGGAATTCAAGCCTCTATCGGGAGAAGCTGGCAACCCTCCCAGGCACCCGGCTTGAGTTCCGATGACCTCCCTGGCTGCATTCCCCAGCAAACGCAGGCAAGGTCGCTATAGGCGATTCTTCTCAGCGTGAGAAGAACACCCCCCCTTTTTTTGCCCTCCCCCGGCAGGGGAAAGAGATAGACAGAAACGTATTTACATGCCTTTATTTCTGTCTTTGCAGCGTTACAAAAAACATGACTGCTCTCTTCAAGCTCCAGCAGTCGAGAGACTAAACACTTCCTGTACTTCCTGTACAGGAACAATAGGAAGAGCTCATATTACACTCTGAGCTAATTCCAGTGCTTCGCACTGTGAATTGACTGTCCCTCTGTTTCCCACGGAACAGTCCCGACATTCCATCATGTGATGTTTTCAAGCTAGCTGCGCGCAGCTGCATTGCTTCTATATCGTAACAGCAATATGCCATATTATATTATGTAGATGTGTTATATTTAAACAGGCAAGGTATTTTCAGGCTGACCTTTTTGTTTGGAATGTACTTAGTTTGCTTTGTATGATAGTTGTCTCTGGCAGTGACTCATTAAAGCCTATGAATTATGTCACTAGATCAGCCAAGATAAGCGTTCCCCAACCTGGTGCTCTCCAGCTGTTTTGGACTACAACTCCCATCAGTCATGACCAATGTCAGGGAGGATAGGAGTTGTAATTAAAAGCATCTGGTGTGCATCAGGTTGGGGAGGGCTGGCCTAGGCCATGCAAGAGTTATGATTAATTGTGCATAGAGGAAGGGTCCACAGGAAAAATTAACACATTCTCAGATAAAAAAAATTATTTCAAAGCAAGAAAGATTCCATCAGCAGTGTCTCCGAAAAAGTTACACATCACCTGGGAAGACAGGCGAACTAATGCCAGTGTACTGGAAGAAGCAAAGATCACCAGTGTTGAAGCAATGATTCTTCAACATAAACTTCGTTGGACTGGTCATGTTGTGCAGATGCCTGATTATCGTCTTCCAAAGCATTTAAAAGTTGATGCCTGATTATCGTCTTCCAAAGCAAATACTCTATTCTAAACTTAAAAATGGTAAGTGTGATGCTGGTGGTCAACAAAAGAGGTTCAAAGACTCTCTCAAGGCAAATCTAAAAAAAATGTAGTATAAACACTGACAAGTGGCCTGTAAGTGCTCCTGTTGGAGAACAGCTTTTACCAAAGGTGTCATGGATTTTGAAGACACTTGAACTCAGGACAGAAGGGAGAAATGTGCCAAGAGGAAGGCAAATTGGCAAACCCTCACTGTGACCAACTCCCGTCTGGAAACCTATTTCCTCACTGTGGAAGGACATGTCGATCCAGAATCAGACTCACTTTTAAAACCGTGTTTATGGAAAACAATCTTACTTGGCTACAAGTGATTGCCAAAGAAGAAAGATAGGCAGAAGTGCTTTAAGTGTACCCAAAGGCTCAGACATGCACATTGGGTTTTAAACTCTTCCCCCCCCCCACCGCTTTGAACAAAAGATGCCATACTATATATCTTTTGCTTTTGAATGTCCCTCCATGTGGAGTGGGGAAATACTCTTCAAGAAACAACCCCAGCCATAATTTATACCTTACGCAGTTCTTCGGGCTGAGGCAAACTACCACTGTTTTACTAACCATAAGTCTGAAATGGCACTCAATAAGTAATAAATATAAAGGCAGGAGGAAATGCAGAAGAGAGAACTTAATTATGACTGGGCATGGAAAACAGAATTGTTTTACCATGAAAGAAAACTGCAAGAAAGAAGTAACTTATAGGGGGTAAATATACTAATTTATGATTCTGGTCTTCAAAGAAATAAAATGAATGAATACTGATATATTTGTTATCAAGGAGAGAACCATGTCAAAATAGTAAGATGAAACAATAGTTTTGCTATGATGGTGACTCATGTATAGTTATTTAATTTGAACCTAGTGTGGGCAAGAAAATCCTGCCCAACCTCCCTGTAATGCCTGAATTCCTTCAACATCTCATGGCACAAAATGTAATACCCTTGATTATTTTTTTCATTAGCAGATCTGGGCACTTGCTGAGCTGCTGGTGCTGCTTGAGTAGGTCCTAGAAAGAAATCAGAAAAGCTGAAGCAACAGTTCTGTGAATGCATATCAATAAAAAAGAAAACATTGTGCACCATCACTAGAACTGGAACAGTTTTGCCTCTTGGGAAGACAATAAATGATGACTATGTTAAAAATCAAATGACGCAGGAGGAACACATGGAAAGTGGACTCCATGTTGTTCCCTCTAAGGGAATCTTTTAGATGCAAGAGAAGGCCCTTCTTTTGTTGAGATCAAAGGGGAAGGAAAAAAATTCCCTTTCACTTTGAGGGGGATGGTACCAATTAGTATGATTTTACTAGATCAGGTTTTGGGGGAACTTTGCAAACAGGCTTGATCGAACCAATTGAGATGTTGTTGATACTGCTGCTGCTGCTGCTGCTGCTTTAGCCTCAGTTGTGTGCACACTCACTTGGGGGCAAGCCCCACTGAATACTATCAGGCTTACATCCAAGTGAGCATATTGTACATAGAACTGCACTGTTAAAATTGCTTTTAAAATGATGTGAAGCCATGCTTGCCAGCTTACAGTAAGGTGAATTTGTCTATTTTGATTCTATAGCACTTTCATATTTTGTTTTACCCATACAGTGGTGCCCCGCAAGACGAATGCCTCGCAAGACGGAAAAACCGCTAGACGAAAGGGTTTTCCGTTTTGAAGTTGCTTCGCAGGACGAATTCCCCTATGGGCTTGCTTCGCAAGACGAAAATACCTTGCGAGTCTAGAATTTTTTTTGCTTTTCCCCTTTATCTAATCTGCTAAGCCTTTAATAGCCTTTAATAGCCTTTTAGCAGCTAATCCCTAAGCCTTTAAGCCTTTAATAGCCGCTAAACCGCTAATAGCGCTAATAGCGCTAATCCGTCAATGGGCTTGCTTCGCAAGACGAAAAAACCGCTAGACGAAGACTCTCGCGGAACGGATTAATTTCGTCTTGCGAGGCACCACTGTATTCATATTCCATTCCATCTCTACATTAAAATGACAAGTATAGAGAGTACTTTCAAAATATGTATTTAAATGGTGAAGAACTGCATCACAGAAGTTCACAGAAGTGCAAAATCTGGTCGACAGCTAAGTTCCAAACCAAGATGTGTGGATTAGGCCATTTCTGAGAGAAATTTGCAAAAGTTGATTTTCTTAGTCTTCCCTAGTTTACAGTATAAATTATAAACGTCCACAGCTCTGTAGTTTCCATGATTTTGAGGGTAAAAAACAACAACCCTAGGTATTTAGGGCTCAGAACAATAGCTCCATGTAATATGTCCATATTGTGAAACTTTTTTAGATTTATAAAGTCCTGTGCTTAAGTTAGAATACTGAGTCCTATATTATAATAATTTGTTTATAATGCTTATAAATGTTTAATATGTTCCCTTATGATCCTTTTTTTACCTTTCCTAGAACAGTAATTTTACTGTGAAGAGTGAGCCCTTGTAAAAATGTTTTATCATCCTTTTGAACTGAATTAAGATCACATAATGAATTCTAGGAGCATGGAAGCATATTTTATATCATTTCAATCCATTTTTTTATTTTATGTAATCTATACTAGACAAATATTTTTTTAAAAATTCTTAGGAGCTAGTGCTGTCTGATTCTATGCAACGTTTCCACGGTAACTGGAGGAAGCAGATAACCCTTCTCCCTGATGTCTCCAACTGTACACAGGAAAGGCAAGAAAAGCCAATAAAATGAAAAGAAATGGAAAAACTCTTGATGTAGAAGCTGCAATGCTACATATTATGGGAAGGCTGGAATATGAATGAGAAAATTAATTGAATGCTTCTAGGCTAGTCAATAGATGAGTAACATATTATATAAATACTTTATTTGCAATGAATCTGCTTTGCAACAAATAATGGCTAGACATTTTTCAACTGATGCTGTCTTATTTTGAGAGCTGCATGCTGCATTACAAATGTCCCAGCTCCCAGTGAGGATGCTTGTCCATTGACATTTGCAGAGCCAGACAATATCCATATTGCTGTGTATAAAGTTTGCAGTAGTTCTGTAGCCATTACAAATGCATTGCTTTTAAGGCCTGGTTAACCCCTCCCCTTTATTCCTGTTTATTATAAAATGTTTCTAGCAGTTCCATTGTGTATGACACATAAACATTACCTGAGCCATATTGAAAGGGAGCATGTAGCCTTCATGTCAGATCCAGATGTTTCTGTCAGTAAGTGAAGTTGAATCTGTGTAAAAGTGAGGGCAGGAAATTTAGGGCTAGGAAACCTGCTTAGTCTATTCTGTGTGCAAAATCAGATTTTAGTGTGAGAAACAAGAGTGTTGGCCCAGTTGAACCCAATGTGGTTCCATGAAAATTTCCAAATATGACTAGGACAGGTCTTCAATATTAGAAGGTTTAGTGCTCCATGTTGGGAGTCTGAAAATATTGATCTAGGCTACAATCCAAAAACAGGTTACTGAAGTGTAGGACTACAAAACCAATATGGCTAATCCTGAGTAAGACGTTTGTGGACTAACCGTAGTGCATAATAAGAGTCTGTGTAAAGTTCTGTGGTCATAAAACATCATTTACGTTACCAAAACAGTTTTTCCTTTTGTAGTATAGAAATATGAATTACCTTGACAATTGAAACTGATGTCAAGTTGGCATGAAGGGCAAGCAGAACCACAGAGCAGAAATAAAATATAAGGCAGCTCTGGCTATGGTCAGCAGTTTTGTAAATTAGTACTTCTGGAAGAAACACCCCAGAACAATTTCAGAAAATACCTGTTGTTTTAGCTCAGTGTGTCACATATGAGAAAGCATTGGTGCACATGTTATCCTTGGAGATTCTCCTTAGCTTTTAAAAATGAAAGTTCTATGACAACCATTCTAGTTTCCCTCCAGAATGTAACATTACTGTAGTGCTACTGGATGTCCACAGAATCCTGTTTGAGGTGGAACTGGATTGTGAATTTTAAACAACCGCCTTGCTGTGTATGCCAAGATTGATCTTGGCACACAGCCTAGGGATCTTTCTTTGCAAAAGGAGAATGCAAGTTCAAAGCTTTATTTCCTAAAAATCAATATTACACAGTTGGGACTTTTCTCTTCCTTTTGAAGAGAAAAGCCCTAGAAAGTGGCGAATAGAAATTGGAATGAATGAATAATTCTACTTAGCATACTAACCCTAATTTCATACACACAAAAGATGGGGTATACTCTCTCTCTCTCTCTCTCTCTCTCTCTCTCTCTCTCTCTCACACACACACACACACACACACACACAGACACAGGACCCAGGGGCCTAAGGATCCTGTAGGGATTTTTCAGCTGATATGATGGGTGCTCCTGTCAAAGCTCTGGCTGACTTCTGGAACATCCAAATGGCTTGGGCAGTTGACACGATCACTCCTGAATGCCCTCTTCTGCTTTGTGGACCCCATTTAGCTCCCTGATATACTCCAGAACTTAGGGTGAGGAAACAAGCTGGGAGAAAGCTTGAATGTGGAAGAATGAAAACTCCAGCCAAATGCAGTCAAATACTGGCGAGGGCTCATTATTGAGCCAGCCCAGTGACAGTGAAGGCAGCAAAGAAGGCATACTTTGCAGCCGCCATTGTATTCTCATTGTGCCGTCCAGCAGAGCTGTTATTGGGTAACGCAGGGCCTTTTACAGTCTGGCCTGAAGGAGGTGACAGAACTGACGGTAGCTCGTGTGACTTGTTTGCAAAGCATTTTGAGGATAAAATTGCTTGCATCTGCTGGGACCTTGACTCCACTGTTACAGCAGATGAATCTTGAGAGATGTCCAGAGCACGGTCCAAACCTGCTATGTTAGTAAGGTTCAAAAATACGGCAAAGGTGTGTGGATCAGTCAGGGTGACCACTTGCACTCTAGGCTCTTGCCCCTCTTGGCTGATAAAAAGGGGAGGGGAGGCAGGGAGGGGACACCTGCCTGAGCCAGAGAGGTGATGATTGCCTCTTGTGAGAAGGGGTGAGCCCTGCCTGCTTCAAGGAGGCTTCTCCACCCAAATTGCCTTCTCTCAATTGGCATTGATGCAGAACTGCCTTTATATACACATGGTATCGTTAAGCACTTTCATTTGTCACAGGATTTAGAACAGGCTTCCTCAACCTCGGCTCTCCAGGTGTTTTTGAGACTACAATTCCCATCATCCCTGACCACTGGTCCTGCTAGCTAGGGATCATGGGAGTTGTAGGCCAAAAACATCTGGAGGGCTGAGGTTGAGGAAGCCTGATCTAGAATGCCACTGGGCTGAAAAATGCATGGGAACATACTCCATTTCCATAGGCCCACAGTTGGTAGTATAGTAAAGCAAAGCAGAAAATGTCTGGCTTACCTGTTTGCTCATCTGCTTATTTCCTTCTTAGCCCTCTGCAAGCAAAAAACCATTCACTCACATACACACATACACATTTTGGCTTGGTTTCAAGGCTGACCTGCTTGTACAAAGATTTGTCAATCCAACTGGGCTTTAAAAATGAAAGGATAAAACAGAGTAGTATAAATATGTTTGATATATGTTTTTAAAAGCATTATATATGAATGTGAATATATTATAGGCATAAATGCATCTAACAAGCAGTAGCTTACAAGGTTGTCAAATACACAATTTGACCCTAGTGCTTCTGCTTATTACTGTTGCCAACTTACTAAAATCGTAGTAAAAAAATTACAAAATGCATTTTAATCATGACAGTATAAAGCTATAAAAGCCAAGAACCTCATTTTTGTACCCACCTCAGGGTAGTGGCATTTGTAGTTCTGATAGAGTAGTATTTTAAAATATTCTTGGGGTACGCAGACATATAAATACCTATATTGGTTTTAAATCCAGCCCTTCCTTCTTATTTAAAATTGTTGGATTTCCCCCCCAATAGTAATTTATTTAACAATAGAAAACATAGTATATTTTGCTTTACACACTTCTATATTCGCAAAAGATCATTCAGTACAGAGAGGAGAAATGTACTGATTTTGGTTGAAGTGATATGGTCTGCCTCTACAACTGTTTAATTTAGCTAGGGACAAGTGGCACTTCCAATAATTGTATATGAAAAGCAATCTCTCACTTCAGTGTAATAGCCAATCTCCACTTTCCCATGAGGCCATCTCTGTCTGAATTCCCTTTTTAATGGACAGAAAGAGCACTCGTACATTTCCAAAAACAAAAAAAGAAAGAAAGTGAAATAAAGGATTTGCCTCTGGCAAATGATTAATACTAATGTGCAAAACTGGTTGTTTTCTTTCTCTCTCTTCCTCCACCCCTTTTTCTTCCATTTCCCTGTGTTGTGGATACATTGGTCTTCATGAAAACCTTACGAAATACATTTGAGAGGTAATGGTTTGTGAACTAAGGCTTGTTTCAAATGTAATGCTAGTGGTATGGTAGTGGCCCAAAGGCTTCCGCATGAGTGGAGCTCCATGCAGTCAGTGTTCACGTTTGTGAACACATTTGCAGTTATTTGGTGACATGCAATGTGAGTGTACTAGTTCTGACTTTGACCTTGCTGTTGCCCTGCCCCATTGCAGTTAGCAGCAATGACATCACTGTGGGGAGGCCTGCTCCGCAAGGCACTCCTACCCGCTAGCCACTCATGACTATATAAGTGCACGGCAACAAAGGGCTGCAACAACGTGTGGGGCTAGATTAATGTCTTTTACATTTCCTAGGCTCCACCCTTCCTTTCTGAATGAGATGAATTCCTTTTAATTTGCATCCAAAATTGGGAAGGGGAATGATGCTGATGTAAAGACTGCTTACCAGCTTCTGTTGGAACAGAGGTTGTGGCCCAGCAAGAACACGGGTGAGACGGGGGGGGGGAGCTTCTGTTGCCCACATGGCCACTGGATGATACTGGCTCCTCCTCTTGCCACGGGATGGATCCCTATCCCTCTCCCTGATCCAAAGAAATAGGGTACCCCAGTAAAGAGGTCTGAGGGAGGTGTTGTGTGTGTCTGAATACCCAGATGGGGCTTGATGGGCCACAGACGCCACCCCAAACAGCATCCTGGAGGAACCACCTGGATTTGATATGTGTCATAGGTCGGTCCTTGATCTTGATGGGGCCAGTCAAACTCGAATACAGGGGAAAAGGCTTCCTGTTTGAAGTCCAAACAGGACAGGGGAGACTTTTGTCCAAAAATGGGGAGATCCTGTGGAATATGTCTTTCTATTGCCTTTTTAGGACAGTTTTCTTTTCCTCTTAACTGAATTATGGAAAAATCTTTCCCACATCTCTTTTGAAGGGTCACCAGAGGCCAGATAGATTGCTTTGTGTTTGCATTCAATGAGTGACCAGTTGGCTTTCACTCACTTAACTCACATCTGCAGTGCTAATTAAAAATAGCAATGCAAAGTTGATTAGAATTACTTTAATTCCTAACTGGAACTTGTAAATATAGTTGGTAGTCTCCTAAAAGCTGTTCCTATTCACCATAAGATCCGGTCATTATTTGATTAAAAAAGTATCCAGTCAACTAATTCATCTTTGCCCCTTTGGGTAATAGGAAGAATATATTAGGCTACATATTCCCCAGCATAACTTCAGAGATTACAGCTTTTAAGTATCATGAATATGTATAAACTTCACATCAAAACCTAACGGTCATGAAAGATTGTTCTCTTTCCTTTCTTCTTTTTTTCACTGATTGAGCATCTCTTAAGTTTTAGAATTTCTTTACACAGGTTGTTGGCCTGCATAGTTATTAAATACACTTGATAGTGCAATCCTGTACATGTCTGCTTAGAAGTAAGCCCTATTAAGTTCAATGAGATTTACTGCTAAGTAAGTGTATATAGGGCTGCAGCCTAAAACCATAGCCTTCACACTACCTGTACTAGTCTTACTGAAGCAAATGGAATTACTTTGCAGTAAGTGATTTGAGGATTGTCTCCCTGCCGTTTGAAATACATACTCCCAACTGCGGGGGAGTTTTCATGCTTAATGTTACGGAGGAAAAAATATTCAATAGTTTGTCTGGAGGCTTCTTAATTTATTGAATGCATTTGTGTACACAGCTTTTCTGCCAATGCACTCAAAGGATGTATACAAAATTTAAAATAATGACATGGCTATCGATGGCAACTAGCTATGATGGCTATGCTCGGCCTCCACAGCTGGAGGCAGCAGTGTTGGAAAGCACAGTTGGGGAGATTGCTCTTATGTTCACATCCTGCTTGCTGATTTCCCACAGGCATCTGATCAGCCTCTGTGGGAACAGGATGCTGTACTAGATGGGCCACTGGCCTGATCCAGCTGGCTCTTCTTTACGTTCTTATGACATGCAAACGAATACAGAAAGAAAAGGGGCTGGGGAAGGCAGAAGAAAATAATACTGTGGTATAACAGCTTCTGCTGGCCAGCCTCTAACAAAGTAAAATCTTCTTGCAGACAGGGTTTCAATTTGTGCTTTCTGTTGGACTGGATCCAAATTATATTGCTTTTGAGTTTGCTGCATGAGTAGCATGAATTAGTATATCACTCTGGCTTTTCAGGAATGTGCCATCTGATTAGAGTTTTGAGTTGACGAAAGGATGCTTATATTCTGTTAATGGCTGTGGGTAGTTTCGTGAATGGACAATTCGCGGGTGGAGAAGAGCCCTATCCAGTAATTGTAGGGTTGTGTTCGGTAAACAGCTGCTGGAAAGAGCAAGGAGAGGATGTTTATTCTCTGTGTGTTTAGTGTGGGGTTGCCACTCTTGGTTCATTCGGTTTTTATGGGGCATCCACACATTGTTGTCATAGAACCAATGTCATACTTTCCTCCCTTTGTGGTTTTGCCATTATTCAAACTGCAGAAGGTTTGGCTTAATTTTTGTTTATTCAAAGGGCGGAAGAGTAGTGCAGTCTTCTCAGGTGTAGCTGCCCTTAGGGCTTGCTGCAGCTGGTGGGAGTTGTAGTCCAAAACATCTGGAGGGCACCTGATTTGTGAAGGCTAGTTTAGGGGCAGACACAAACATCAGGTGGCTCTGCATTTTGTGCTAAAAGGAGCAAAAGCTGGCCCCTTGGCTGGGCTCCTGTTGATGTCCTTGGCTTCCTATACTGCATTGGTACAATGAACCATTTTGAAAAAAGCAAGGAAATCTCTACAAAGTAAATCTGCGCCAGGGCCCAGGCAGCATTTTGGAGGCAGCAGCAGTGACTGCTTAAGCCACAGGGAAGCAGCAGGCATGGCAGCAGGATCTGCCACCCCTGGATCATGGCAGGGTCTTGCCACCCGAGGCAATCGCCTGAGGATGCTTCATCATAACGCCGGCCCTGGGTGGGACATAATCTGGAAACCTAGAGGCAACATGTCCTGGGGCAGCCAAGTCACCCTATTTAGCACTGTTTTAGCTGTCAACTTCACTTAACAAAGCAAGCCTTTGCTCCAGCTGCAAAAGGAGGTCTCTGGGGTGAATTGAGATGTGGAGGGACCTCACGCCAAGGAGCGAACAGCCTGCCAGCTTCTTTCCAGAGCCCAGTGGCTTCTTTCCAGGGGTCAGTGGTTGCAAGAAGATTTCCAAGCACACTTGTACTTAAATGCCGCCCTCTAGCAATAATTGTAGTCCTGTCTGGCCATGTCCATGGATGATTAGGAACGCCTGCAAACAGTTGCCTTGTTTTTAGTGTGGCATTACATGATCACAGTCTTTAATGCCTTTACAATATTTCCCTCATAGAATCATAGAGTTAGAAAGGACCTTGGGTGTCACTAATTAAGCTCCCTGTTCAGTGCAGGATCTGCATGACTGATGGCTGTCTAACTTCTGCTTGAGTCTCTCCAGTTTACCAGCCACCTCCACACTGATAGTCTTTTTCACTGATACTGTTGGAAAGTTTATCCTAATGTTAAATGAAATATTCATTGTGATTGGGCTGGCTTGAGGTTCTTGACATGCAAATGAAATATTCATTGCGATTTCCACCTACTGACTTGTCTTGTCCTCTGGAACAACACCATACAGGTTTGCTATATCTTCTGCAGTATAGCCTTTTGGATATTTGAAAATCTCTTCCTCCCACAATAACAACAACCCTTCTCTTTACCAAGCTAAACATAGGCTGGATCTACACTCATCTCAAAAACACTAATAAAAAAACCCACTATAAAAATATAGCTCCCAGTGGAATTTCCCATTGGCAAAAGATCGCTGCTTTACAGCACCCTCTGGTGCCCCATTTCTATAACACATTTTTAACGTTATAACTCACCAGTGTAGATTAGTCCTTTCTCAGCTCTTCCACCCACTCATCATAGGACTTGATTTCCAGAGCTTTTCACCATTCTGGTCATTGTCTTCTGGATATACTCCAGCTGATCAGTATCCTTCTTAAAGTGTGGTGTCCACAGTAGGAAACAGTACTCCACATGTTCCCTTAGCATGCAGGATAGAGAGAAACTATTAACTGCAATAGCTATATATCTATATCTATTATATATTTGATGAGAATGGTAACAATATAAAACCAAAACATGAGGCTTATTGGGAAATGCATGTATATGGTTATTTTAAAAGAGACCTTATTGTTGACTTTGCACTGGCAAGATAAATGCGGGATGCTAATTTTCCTCAAGGTTAGTCTAAAATTGCATCTACCATACTAGCTCCTCAGAAACAGGTACTACTGTGAAAATGAATGTAGAATTTGGGTTAGGGTTTCTCTGACTTGGGAATTAAGTTTGCTATTCTGTTTCATGTACAAAACTCTGTATCCTGGTTTCTTCATTCAACACAGTGGTGCATTTATTAGGATGGTCTTCCCACAGAACATTCCCTAACTTCAGCAGTTATGGATTCCCTTGAACCCCCAAACTCTGTTCAGCCAAGAATGGAGGTAACAAATAAACATTTGTGTTAATCAATGAGATTTTTGCTGTCCTTCTGCTGTGTTTCTAGGGGAACCTCACATGGAACATCATAATAAGAAGAACTTCGTTTATATAAATCTTCATGTGTCATGACTTCTACCTTGATTTTCCTTGAGAGGCTTTCAATAGTGAGAGAGCATTAGCTACATACTTCCATATTTTCATGGCCTTTATTGCCCTTTATTGCATTCCATATCCATAGTGCTGCCATATCCATTATTAATCCATAGAAGGAATCTTGCACTATCAATGTAGATTAAACATTAAATACGTTAAAGGTCAAAGAAACCATCACAATGAAGATAGATTGAGAGCTATCAAAGTCCAGACAAGCACACTTGATATTTGTGCTTTAGAGTTTTAAAAATGGAAGAATAATAGAAAAAAAATTGTTCACAACTGCCTGCTGTGAAGCTTGGATGCAAAACTAAGTAGCAAATTTAAGCCAGGGTGGAGGGGAAGAAGGAATGGGTGGGCAGAGCAAGAATAATGTTGACCAGTCCTCTCTTCCTTAGTGCAGGGGGAGAAGGCAGAACCATCCAATGCCAGGGAAGCCCTTTCAATGCCCAAGGAAGGAGGGAGCCCCACAGCACAGACTGAGCAATCAAGGGAGAAGGAAAGCCATGCATTGTCTCTGATGCAACAGCAGCACCTCAAGAGGCTGGTGCAGACCCAGCTCCCTAGAAGGAGTTCCCGGCATCAATCCAGGAGCTCTTGGTGGGACAGGCTGTTCTCATGAGTAGCTGTACTTTCCTTCCCCTTTAAAAGTGTGGCAGGTAAGCAGGGCCAATTGTTCATACAACTTCATGCTTCTGTGCAGTCTTAAGATCAGAACTCCTGATCTGAAGCCTTGACCCCCCTGGCCTTGTCCCTGAACTGCCTTCAGGGCATGGGTGTAGCCGGGGGGCAGGAATAATAATAATAATAATAATAATAATAATAATTTATTTATACCCTGCCCATCTGGCTGCGTTTCCCCAGCCACTCTGGGCGGCTTCCAACAAAATATTAAAATACAGTGGTACATACATTAAAATACATTAAAAGCTTCCCTAAACAGCAGCTCTCCCTCCTCCCAGATCAAGTAAAGCAATAGAAATACTTAACTAACTGACCAAGAAAAGTCCTGCCACCCCTAACAAAAACCTTGGCTACGCCCATGCTTCAGGGAGTGCTGAAGCTTGTCTCATAAGTTGGTTTGATCTTTGCCTCATTGCTGGTGCCCAGACTAAACAAAATTCTGCCCTTCTGCTGTTGCTGAGTTTACACTGTCAAAATAAAGTTTGTTTTCTTACTTACAAGAAAGGACACTTTTTTTTGTTCTTGGGCAGGAGCCAGGATGCCTCCCAGGGCACATGCTGCAGTTGGAAGCCCCACACTTAGTCCTGTGCCAGATAATGCTGGTCTTTGCCCACTGCTGCCACTCAACCCACCACCCACCAATGCCATCTGCTTTCCCTCTCCTAATCTGCCCCCTCATGGCACCAATGAAAGTGGAAGCTTTGCTGTATCTGGGATGGCATGTCAGTACCCGCAGCTATGCCCCTCTTTGGCAGACTCTGCAAGTGGTCACCCTGTTATATCATGTAATTACTTCCCATCGCAATAAGAGACATACTCATATGCTCTTGAACATGCCTACATAAATGAAAAAGAGACTGTGCTGTTTCTGACCAATGCATTTTGCACTCTGAAGCTGATGCTGCTTGCCTGAAGTGTCATCATGACATCATGTTGATGCCTGAAGAGGAGGGATTGTGATCTCATGCTGCCAGAACAGTGACTGACTCCTGTGCCTTTATGTTGATGGAAATAGAAACTGACCAACATGCTGTCACATACCTTCTTCCCACCTGAAAGAGAAAGGCAGGCAGTGGCCCCTTGCCCACATGCCACTATTCTCTACACCTTAAAGCAGAAAATTTCTTAACAGTCTGTTTCCCATTCTCTCAAATGTAAGTTGGGAAGACAGGCAGACAAGGAAGCATCACTGTCAACCAAAGCAATCTAAGTAAGGTATGAGATGGTTGTTTTCTAACTTCTGATGGCTGCTGGTGGTACAGTCTCCCTGTGCAATGTTTACCTCCTAACTATCAGTTATTTCTCTAGTGAATAGGAGGCACTGAAAAGCCACCAGCCATCCTTTGTGGTTTAACAGTACGTTAGAGACCCAACTTGAGAAGAGTTGTAGTCCCACAGAGAAAAATGGGCAGTTAAAAGCAAATCAAGTATAAACACTGAAAACAAATAAGCATACATCTAAGCCTAGTCTGTACTCTGGTTTTGATATTAGTTGTATGAATTACTAGAGTGGGGCTTGTGTACCTGGTTGCTGTCAGTTATGCTTGTCTATTTTTGTGAACCTGACATGTGCAGTGAGAGTTGTGTGTGTCTCTAATGCAATACTCACAGAAGAGGGGAGATATGAGAGAGGCTGGTAGTCATGCCAGTAAGAAGAGGGGACCGTCAGTATCAGAAGTTGTTCTGTTTTGGTTTGGTTGCCTATCTCCAGGATTTGATTTGTCATTCCAGCCAGCCCTCTAGACTAGCAGTGCTATTGGTGAACACCAGATCTTCCACTCATTCACCATTTGGTTGTGGATGAACCAACGTCCAGCTGGGTGGTCTGGATGTGACTCAATTCCGTCCACCTGAATACTTGGCACAGCACCATCACAGCCTTGAGTGGAGGAGTTGTTGTTGACCACCAGGATTCAATCACCCTTGCCAGGAGACCAGCCTGGGTCCTGGTCAGAGGCTTTGCACCTAGTACTGGACCAAAGACATAGAGTAGAGATTCTGGTTATATACCATCCACCCTGCTGCACAGCAGTCTTCTTCCCTGAGATGGCAGAGATAGTTTTCAGGATGGTATTAGCTAACCTCAGGACATCAGGCTGTTTTCAACTAATCTAGTCAAGTGGAATGCAGGAACTATCTCTAGTGCAACAGAGCTTCCCCCCTTCCCCACCCCTGCGACTCCACCATATCTGCTTTGGGGGGTTGAGAGGACCCTAGAACAGACTTATGAAATCCTAGGGATTCCTGAATGTCCTAGGATCTTTTTTTGATGGTGTGGCTGGCAACCCTATCAATACCCTAGTCTTGCTGTGGAATGATAAGATGGAAGGGGCAACTGACATGGTCACTCCTGAGCTCCCTCTCTATGATTGCTTTTCTGCATTGATTAAGGTGAACCGCTGACATTGAAACCTGGCTGGTGATACATTTCGGGAGTTCTATGTGAATCAGATCAAGCTGACAGGAGGAGGTTTCATGTTCATTATAATATATGTTCAATACATGTTCATTATAATATATACATGTTCATTATAATCAATAAGGTTTGGAGAAGCTAATGAAATATATTAAAAATATTTAAAAATAGGGGAGAAAAGCTAAAATATAAATATATAGATAAATAATCCAATGCTTATAAGCAAGAGAACAGAGTTTTAGAAAAGAGCAGAAACAAGAGACCTATAGTGAGGGCTTTAGTTTAAGCAGCAGAGATTTATGATATTTATAAAGGGTTATGGAGGAGTTCCACTTTCTTTGACAAATAGTTTGGTTTAGCCATTTTGGGCCATTGTACACTTGTGGGTACAAACAGTATATCTGACTTCTTAAAGCTTATTTTTCTTGATATAGCTGTTAAAATCTCCCAACAAAACACATTATTTAATATCCACTTTTTTCTAGCCCTTTGTGCTTTCCAGTGACACAAGTCTGCCACTTGAGCCAGGTAAAGGGAGTATTGTTGGGATATGGCATGGGATGAAATAGGAACATGTCTATGTCAGGTGTACTGCCCTAAATAGCAGGAGACAAGGACAACAGATAATTTGACAGGAGGATATGTGCTACGTCTATATCCACAGTGAAGTGTGCTACTTACTAACTTGCATTTATGTTTTTGCTATGCCAGATGAAGAACATATAGTTCAAAACTATCCCTTACTATAAGTGACTATTTTGTCCAAATTCGTTGTTAGATTGTGGTGCTGGTATTTTGTGGACTGCTAATCTCAGATCTAGAACAAGGAAGAGAAACTGGCACAAATTTAAATGGTATTTGTGTTAAAAGTAGCACTGAGTTACTTTTAGTACAAATAGTGGACACTTCTTTATTTCTTTTTAAAATTTATATGCTGCCTTTTTCTTTAAAAATGTACATAATATAAATAAAACAGGCGTCCCTAAGCAACAATACTGCTTTGTGTTTGTATCATGCAGGATGGGGACCCTGTGGTCTCCCAGATGTTGTAGGACTCCAACTCCCATCAGTATCAGTCCTGTTAGGTTCCCCACTCTTGGTACCGTGTTTTCAAAATGCTTCTCATACATCATCTACCTGTATTACAGATGGGAATGCTGAGGCTAGGAGTCTGCCTGTCAGTAATATGGGCAGTAATGTCAAAGCGGGCTCTGTGAAATAATTACTTTTTAACGCCAGCAAATTCAGGTTGCTGTGAAGCAGGTTCTGAGGAAGAATATGGTGCAGGACATATGCATATTGGCTGATGTGTAAACATTTATGGTTCCTGGGATCTTTTCATCCTTTTATGGGGTGCTTGGTGATATACATATATGCTGTGCCATTTACAAGACTGAAGCTGCAATTCTGAAAACACTCACCTGGAAGTAAGTCCCACTGAACTCAATGACATTTCCATATATGGGATTGTTCAGCATGGCCACAATCCTCTACAGATTTACTTAGGAGTAAGCCCTGGAACGCATTGGCACATCTCCCTGAGTAAATGCGTTCTGGATTTTGCTCCTGCTTCTGTTTTCCTCAATGATAATTTAGGAAATACTTTCTGCAGTTGTTAAGATGCAATTGCAGAAAAAGTCTTGCTTTTGAAGCATATTGCTTGAGTTTAGATGGTTTCTTTGTCAGCAGAATATATCAGCCCTTATCTAGAGGCTGTGAACATTAGTATTTACAGTCAATATACTTTGCAATAAACTGACAAACCAAATGGGGTTTTTGTTTACTTTAACAGCCCTGCATTTATCTGATGCTGTTTAGATCTCATTAAGTCTCCCTTTCCTGAACTGCTCTCATGGGCCAGCTGAATAGGAAAGGTAGTGTCAAAGCACTTTATAAATCCATTAGGCTGAAAGGTCTTAGGTTTCTAACATTATAAATTCGATATCCTGCCTTTAGTTGCAATGTGTACATTAATTAAGAGTTCTCACAATGCCAGAATACTGACTTTAATTACAAAAAGTTTAGTCTGATCTGAAAGTAATCTATCGGGTCCAGCATCTTTTCCCCCCACAGTGGCCAAGCAGATTCCTATGGAAACTTACGAGCAGACTCCTTCCACTGTTGCCTTCAGCTACAGCCATTCAGCAGCATGCTGCCTCTGAACCTGACAGTAGCATATAGGCATTGTGGCTATTGTCCAAAACGACTTTAAATCAGTTTAACAAAGTGACACATCTTGTGGCAGTAAATTCCATATATTAATGATGTGCTATGTGAAGAAGCATTTTCTCTTGTCCTGCAAAACAGGAGCTTTGGGACAGAACCTCTTTCCTTTGCTCTCCTTAGTGGCCCATCATCCAGGCAATTGCCTCACCAAGGAAGCTAGCTAGGATTATATTTTAGCACTTGTTGGATCCAGGGGTTAGAAGCGTCCAGGGATTAGAAGGGCCTTGGCAACAATCTTCTCTACCCCCGCCACTCATAACAATACATTTGCTAGCCTATAAGGTGCCATAAGACTCTTATTTTTCTTTTTACAACAATAGACTAATATAGCTACTTCTCCACAATAAATATGTTTGACATACTCTACCAAAGGAAATGAGGAATAGACACTCCACAGCTTTCAAGAGAATGGGTATTCCAAAGCCTTTGATTAAATGCAGTTAAGGTCCTGCCCTTTGCAGTTAAAGGCAACTTTTATTTTAGGACTGTACCAAAATGGATGCCAATTTTAGTAAGGGGATAAAAAGTAAAGGTTCCACTATGAATACTTTCCACACTGTTTCTTTATTTATTAAGTGGCCAATTCAACCATTTAGTACCTTGACAAACAAAATTACAGTGAACATTTCAAGAATTATATGATTCCGTAAGACACTTCCCTCGTTAACAAGACAGTTACAGCAGCAGTAGGGCAAAGATAATCATCCTGTGGGTATACTGTGTAATCTTTTCAAATCAATAGCAGATGTGACATTAATAACATAGTACATAACTAAAACAATCCTTTTCCTAGAAGGAAAATAATTTAGCAGTGCAATCCTATATACTCAGAAGTAATCCCCATTGAGTTCAGTGGCTCTTACTCACAAGTGACTGTACGACTGAAACCTAAATTATGCTTTCTATAATAATTTTTAAAGGGATGCATAGTCTAAGGGAGTGAATGTTCAGATTTGTGGTGTAGTGCCTGTGGTTATCAAATATAAATATGCAAATTTTGAAAAATGTCTCAGTAGAATAATGTTTAAACATACTTCTTAAATAGTATAGAGGTTGATAAACACAGTGGCCCGGTTTGGATAATCATTGAGACTTCATAAACAATAGTTTTTGAAATCAGGTTGGGCATCAGGTCTGAACGTCACCCCTTCCCTCCTCCCATCATGCAACTTTAGTATAAAGATCCTGGGTCATATTAATGTGGTGTGCACATTCCTGTTTACTCTGTATTCTGTGCACTCCCACCACTGGTCTGGAAAGTGGTGTACACACATTAGC